TTAAATAGCAGTTCCACTGTATAATCTGGAAAGACATTCACCAGTTTAAAAAAGAGAAGAAACTACGCCGAGTTAATTTTCACAAAGACCTCTGAGATCGTCTCTGGGGAAGCGCCGGGTCAGTTAATGGCGTATTTTTCCTCTGTTCCTAATAATCGTCCCAGAAGGGAACGTTGCGTGACCAGACAAAAGACTACCGTCTTAGAAATCTTTGAGAAAACTAACACGGCTCAGCTTCCTTCTCATTTCTCATTTCTGACAGTTTTCTTACTGACCTGCATAAGGATTCGTTTATTAGGCCAGTTACGGGAATGAGCATCAACGAGGGCCTGGGAACCGCGATTAACATCCGGGTCATGGAACGTTGTGATTGGATAAACCTACAAAGAAAAAAAATACGACGTCGGCAAGCAGGATGAAATTGAAATGATCAGTCATTGATACAAAATTCTTGAGCGACATAATTTTTTTCCTGCCATACTTTTGTGGATAACTGTGGCTGGCAAAGCATGGATAGCATATCACTGAGTGACCGAGAAGAAAAGTAATATGGCACTTACTAATCAGTGAAGAAGTTTTTGACAAGCTCAGAAAAGAGGAAAGCAGTCTTTCTTACTCAGTGGTAGTAAGCGAAAACGAGGGTCCACGCCCAAGTTGCGAGTGGAAGTTAGGTGCCCAAGGGGACTGGGAACAACAACCATTTTCCCCAAATCACAGCCTTAATGGCAAGGCGATAGAAAACCCAAGTGGTCTGCCCAAACCGAGCCCCCGAAGGTGACTAAAGCCCCTTCAAGCAAACCTGCAAGCACATTTGGAAGCAATGCATGCGCTGTCCTCGGATACCACTGAAAACTTCACAGGATCTTCAAGGATTCAAGGATCTTGCCAAGATCTTTGAGGATTTTACAAGGATCTTCAAAATACATGCAAAGACCTTTAAGAATCCTCCAAGATCTTTACGAGAACCTTGAGGATCTTGGCAAGAATCTAGAATATCTTTGAGGATTTTTAATAAAGATCCTCAAAAATCTACACTAAGGATTTTCATGCAGATCTTAAAGGATCTTCAAAGATCGATGAAAGATTTTCACCAGGGAGGGGCCGCCCCATTGCCCCAACGCCAACACAAATGCTACCAAACGGTATAAAAGCAATACACGGCCCGGAACGCTGCTGACAACACTCTTGCTCCTGGTCATGCGCTAAACTACATTTAACGGTATACAACACTGCCATTCTTCTGAGGCTATCCGAACACAAAAGCACACAAAAATCGGCTGTTACCCTTTGGAAATTCTTGAGTAAAAATTTCTGTTCCTTGTGATCCCACTATGAGATGATCGGGCAGGTCTGTTCTCTCTGTAACGTGGTTGTCAATGTGACATTCCCTGAAAAAGACAAAAACTCTATTAACCATTTGTTTATGATATTGCGTGATCATAGAGGCAACATACAGTGGAACCTCGATATAACGAACGGCCAAGGGATTGGCAAAATGTGTTCGCTATAACGAGGTTATACAGTGGAACCTTGATATAACGAACCTCTATATAACGAAGTGCTCGGTATAACGAACGATTTTCTTTACCCAAATAATAGTAAAATGTATGAAAAAGTACCTCGATACGGTGGAACCTCGATATAACGAAAGGTCAAGGGACTGGCAAAAAGAGTAAAAGAGGTTCGTTATATCTAGGTTCCACTGTACTGACTCAGAGAACTAGTTTTCGCTTTCATCTCTATTCTTACAGCCTTTCGGGTATTTTAATGAGATTTTAAGGTGAAACTCTCATTTAAATGACAGCCATTAAGTGATGAATTCCCGTGTTAAGTTACACTTGGATAGAGTTTTAACTGAGGTGTGTGCATTCAAACAAACTAAAGCTTATAGTAACACTTCCCCATTCTCTTGCCTATCATGCTGTACAAGGTAGTTCTAACGGTAGATAGAAACCTAAAGATCCTTGACGCTATATAACGGTTGAGTTTGCTGTTTGTCTCCTTCCCTGCTCCGATCTAGAAAAGTTTTTTATCCGCATACTCTGCTTTGATCCTTTCCTCAAAAACTAACATTGCAGAAAATTCGATCTTTAAAGTGTCCCTCTGACCATTTCGTTAGAAGCTAATAGAGGGCCACAGGTTTATCGGCTCTTGGAACTGTTAAGTGTCACCCTCTATCGTTAGCTTGGTTCGCAAAAAAAATGATATATTTTGCGGCCGCGCTATCGATTTCGCATCACACTAACCCAGTTTAAAAACGTGACACTGTCGCAGTGTTTAGAAGCCAATAGAGCATGCGCAAATCATTTACTTGAGCCCAAGGTCTCGTTCCCATTGTTAGTTCTGTTGTCAGCCATCCACACCTGACATAGTTCCCATGATTCTCTCTTTTGGAGGAAGAGAGAGAAACCTGGGAACAAGCATGGTCCACACCCGCCATCTCACCGACTGCTTCCAAATTTGTGTTCTCTGGAGACCAATTTCGGCGGAGGAACACGCCGTGTTGTATGGAACGTAACCAGAAACGGAAGGTAAACTAAAGTATTTTCAAATTTCTCCAGATTACTTTGTACGAGGCTAAGATCAAGACGAGACGTTACTTACCATTTGACAGTCAGTTGAATATACATCTTTAGGTGACCTTGTCCTTGACAAGTCCAACACATCACCCGACCATGGCCATGACAAGTATTACAGCTACAAAACAAACAAACACAAATGGTCAAAATCAGGTAGTTATTCCCACTTTTAACCAAATCGAACAAAATCGAATAACGAAGGTCGACTCGTTTATGTAGAGTGTTTTCACTCACGTGGCCAGCATCTATACAAATTTATTGCAACAAAAGAAAGTCTTTGCATAAGAAAAGAGTTCAACTCCCACAGGACTGGTTTGGGACTCCAACATGGCCGCCGTTTCATTGTTTTGAGAGACCAATATGGCCGCCTTGACGTCATGTGAAAACACTCTATAGAACTTTTTTTTCCTTTATGTAGTTATTTTATTTTATTTTTGTGATTTTGAACTAATTATTTGGAATCCAGAATCCGGGAAACTTTTGCTTATGGAATCCAGCATCCAGGGCTTAAGAATCCAGAATTAAGTTCAAGGAATCGGAATCCCGCAAACGACTGGAATCCCGAATCCAAGTTCCACTAAAAAGAATCCGGAATTCAATCCCTCAAATCCGGAATCCACAGCGTGAAGTCCACAATCCAAGACTGTGTTGGATTACAGTCGAACCTCCGCTTACGGCCACCTCTCTACACCGGCCACTTTTTTCTCCCGGGGGGGGGGGGGGGGATACTTGGGTTAATGTTTGCTGGGTATGTGCCGCTGGCCTCTCAGAGCCCCTACCCCATTATAGTCTATTTTTTGGCCAATTATAGACCCCATCTTAGTCACTTTTTGGAAAATGTAATTTTCGTGATCCCAACTTAGTCACTTTCTATTTATGCATCTACCTCATCAATGTGGTTTCAAGCGGCGGAATGTAATGCGGTCAATGCGAGCTTACTGTTCCATTTAATAAACAACAACTTTCTGATTTTTTAACCGAGAATCTTCCCATTTTGAATCCTTACTCACCCCAAAAATCCGAAAATTTGCGACCCCATTCTAGTAAATCTATTGAAAATGTGACCCCATAATAGTCACTCCAGTTGTGAAAATGCGACCCCATCCAGCGACACATCCCTATTAGCCTCTTGTAAGGGAGTACCCCCCCCCCCCGGGTTTCTTCTGTCCCCAAGGTGACCATTGTAGTGAGGATCAACTGTAGGTGGTTAGCTCATGGTACTTACGTTCTTCTTCCTGATCCGTGACACCACGTGCAACACGTGCGATGATGATGACCGTCCCTGTATTCCGTGCGGTGACCTGAACCGTGACACCACGTGCAACGAACCTATAAGATATAGGCAAACACTCGATCTCATCCATATTTAACAAAATTCGAATTGTGATTCCTAAGTGACCGGTCAAGTCGTTCTGATTATGACGGCACCAGGACACATGCAATACAACGTGACCCAATTCAGAAAATCGCGTTTTAACTGAGTAAGGGAAACATTTTTTCGTAAATGTCAATCCCAACGTACTTTTTGGTTGATAATACTTAGTACTATCGTGATCCTTATTTTAATGCAAAAAATTTCCTTTCAATAAATGCAGCCCGGCAACCATAATGGGCCCTAAGAGGTCTATTTAGTTATCTCGTTGTTGGGTACCCTGTTGACACTCAAGTAAATTTGGACTTCCAGTTTTCGTATTTCACGTGTTTATTTTCTGTCGCCCTTGTGCAACAAATGATATCGTTCTTTTTTTTTTCGTTTATGCTAAAATTTTACAGCATAATTCATGATTCTTGTGTCAAGAAAAACACGAAGGTATAGTAATGTTATGAACAGAATTGATTGTATTTATCGACTGCAAGCAGTTATTAGCAGGATTGTCGCACAGGCAAGAATATGTTACGAGCAAGCAAAGGGGAAAACTCACGATAACCTCATCTTTTCAAGTTTTTCTTGCGGAAGCAACTAATGTGAAAAACTGTCTGTGATCCTTACCCTTCCTCGACCGTAACACTTGTAGCAGCGCTTGTAACCTATAGCCATACACTCATGGTATGGCTGACAAAAAAAGAGAAGAAAAAAAAGAAAAAGTAAAGAAATGTTAGACTCAAAAATGTAGTCAACATTTCCTACTTTCAGGAGAAAATTGCAAACTACCATTAGCGATAATATTATAGACTGAGGCATATCTCTCGGGAATGCTGGGGTTTTTACACGGATCTGGGCAAATTTTTGAACGGACGACGTTTTTACCTGAGCAACCAGTCAACACGGAACCGTCCAAATTCTGTTACAGATTGCAGTACTGTTTAGGATCATAAGACGTTTCTGGGAAACTGCCCACTTACCCCTCCCCTATGGCAACATTTTCCCCCAAGTGAGAAGTAAGTGTTGATGTTGACTTAGGGAGGGGCTAGGTGGGAGTTTCCCAGAAACGTCGCCGTTCAAAAAACTTGCACGGTTCCGCGGGTTCCGTACTGTAGACGAAAAGTGGATCCGTGTAAGTTCTTGTCCATTCAAAAATTTGCCCGGACCCGTGTAAATGTGGTCTGTGTGCGCAAACTTTAGGATGTCTTCTTTCTTCAGACTTAAAGCGATCCATTAAAAAACGCACACACAAACACACACTTTGCTTTCTACTCTGCAATTGAGTCAATCCAATTTTGCTACCATGGTAACGTTACGTCACAGTTCTCCTCTCTGTTGAGTCAAACCAAACTAGTTCATCTTCCAAATCTGAAATAGAAGGTTGACTGTACATTGTATACAGTCACTATGATACCTTAACAGAAGCTGTGTGTGGAACTTCAATACGCGCCTCTTGGGGTGTAAATAGCTGACTTGGCTGAGCAAGAATATCCCATGGTTGTGGAGCAGGGCCATTTTGTGGGCCATCAATCTGCTGACCTTTGATAACAAAATAAAAAAGAAAGCATGTTATAAACTACTGCAGAAGAAAGCCAACAGGGCTAGCTAGCTGTTGTTAGCAACCCAGAGTACAGTTTATCATACATAGGGTAGGGTAACTAAAGGTAATGCCTATATTTAAAGAGGGTAAACACGTGACCGTTTTGAAAAAACTGATAAACTTGTGGCCCTCAAGTAGGGTAGGGTAAGTGGTGCAGTGAGTAATTGGGTGGGGGGAGGGGTTGGGTAAAGTGGAACGGGGACATACATCTGTAAGGTGCACAGTTCTCCAGTTGTATTGTGCAGCAGATTATGAGATTTCTCTAGTAGTCTAGACAACATAGCCTGCACCACAGACAAAACTAAACATCTGGCTACGTCCATCTGAAAAGCAGCACTGAAATTCATGTTCTGGTTCCCCAGTTATGTACCAGGACTTGAGTACCCGCTATGGCTGGCCATGATAAAAAGCTATTGTTCAGTTGGCTAATCAGGTTAAAGGGAAATTTGAGACACACTTCTAGAAATTCATTGAGTTCATTGTTCATTGGGAGGGCCAGAACAAGGATCAACTCAGCACTGCTTTGTTGACATTACTAACCAAGGTTAGATCTTTTCAGCGAGGCAGCTCAGTCTTGGAGCTCATTGCTGAATTCCAAAGGGACTGGGTATTATCCGCATTTTACAGGTAGAATTGTTTGGGTTTTGGCACCTTTGAGATCACGTGAATGTTTGTAACAGAGCTGTTCATTTCATAGAGGCAGTGACAGATCCAGGGGGGCAGTCCCCCTATTTTTAGACCAAACTGAGGCCAGAAGGGCCAATATATTTTTTTTGAGACCACTCCCCAAACACCCTTATTTTAGGGTCTGGATGACCACCCAAACCCCCCCTCCCAAAGTCTGGATCGGCCACTGAGAGGAGCCCAATATAAAGGAAGGTTTGACTGTTTTAGTTAAAGACTCACATACCTCTGTAGGGCTCATATTTCCAAGCAGTTGACCTTGACTCACAGAAACTCACAAAATTGTACTGCAATTTACAAATCAAAAGTACATATAAAAAATATTTGCTAACTAGTATTATAGGAAATTAACACTTGAATCAGAAAATTATGCTCAAAGAAATTTTAAAAGCAATAATTTTATGATATAAAGCAGCAGCATTATTATTTACTACGAAAGGTATCAAAGGACAAAATTATTTTAACATACAGATAAAGAAAAAAATCATCTGCAGTCATCAGTCGATTTGACTGAGACTGTTTCAGGGTTCACAGGGCTCAAACAATCTCCTGTCTGCTGGTCTGAGACAAGTAGATTATTTTTCTGGCGGGGCAAGTAACTTTTTAAGCTCACTAAGCTTGGGTGGCACTAAGGGAGGTGGCACAGTTGGTTAGTGGGCGTCCTTTGGTGCACAAGGTCCCAAGTTCCAGGACCCCAAGCCCGGGGGGAGGGGGGGGGCACTTGGGTATTTTTTGGGTGGGTATGTGCCGCCCGGGACTCCAAATTGGCACCCCATTCTGAAAAAACTTTCCGCTAAAATTGATACCCCCTTCTAGAAATGGGCCAAGTTTTAATACCCCTTTCTAGAATTCGCCCTAAAACTGATACCCCGTTCTAGAAATGGGCCAAATTTTTATATTCCCTTCTAGAAAGTTTGTAAATTGAAATAGCCCCGTTTTTAAAAAAAGATATTTCTTTATTTGTTCGACTTATACATCAAATAAATGCTTCTTCATAATCAGCAACAATTTTAAGCAGAAGATAAAGCCGTGATCCACAATTTGTTATACCCCGTTCTAGAAAACCCCTTTTGAAATGGATACCCCGTTCTAAATCAGGAGCTTCAAAATCACGACCCCGTTGGGCGGCACATACCCGTATAGGTAATGTATGGGAGTACCCCCCCCCCCCCGGGACCCCAAGGGTGGCTGCCGCTTAATGGAGATTCAACTGTACTTACATGATAAGCACTTGAAGGATTGATGTCCTTAATGTCCATATCCTCAGCAGCTCCTTTGCCATAACAACAGTGCTCACCTACAAAGGCAAGCAGTGCATCTCTTGTTTCTTCTTCACTTATGGATGTAGCTCTGTTAAGACATCATAACAGAAATAGCCCGTTACTAAGGGTGGGTAGCCTTTAACTAAGCGTAGAATATACCATGCAGCTATTTCCCCTGTCTAGTATGAGCATAACCTCAGCCTATTTTCGTATGTAACAACAGGAAAATAGAACTAAAACAACTTGCTGGCAACTCAGTTCCCCACCTACTAATTGCATAGTCACCCAGTAACTTAAAAACACAGTGACAGTCCTGGTCTGTGTGTCCATACCACAGCAAAACCAAGGTGAAATGTCACAATTTCTACCATCTTGGGCAAAAAGTGTTGAGAATTTTGCACTTTCTTACCAACAGAACGCCTACCCTGCAGATTTGGTACCACTATGGTCCCTCCACTCGCCACCCTGGTCAAAGTTGTTTAGTCGGGATCAGAAATGATCCAGCCAGAATTCAACATTATCTTTTAGGGGGAAGGGGGGAGTATTTGTCGTTGCCAGGGCTTTCAAGAGCTTTATCTTGAAACTAGACATGGTAACGTCCATTTTTCCCAACATCTTTGTCCAAGATTGTAGCTAGTGTGGGAGCCTGCAACCTGATATTCCACATCCATGTTGGGGTCAATTGACAGCTGTCAAAACAGGGCATCCACTGCCCAGTATCACATGACCATATTGCAGGTTCAAATGTTGACCCATTAAGATTAATTGCTTTTTTAAGGTCTTTGCTGACAAGGGATTAAGTTTTCAACTAATTGCGGGCTCAACTGAATTCTTTGCAATGGTTTCGAAGTAAATTATAATTTTTTACAGGAGCTTGGCAAAATTTATATCTTAAATTAATATTGATTTAAACTTACTGTGTGAAATGCTGTTATGTGTTTCCCAACCTGGGAAACACATATCCCTAGTGATATGTGTTTCCGTAATCGGGAAACACATATCCCTAGTGATATGTGTTCCCCCACCTGGGAAACACATATCCCTAGTGATATGTGTTCCCCCGCCTGGGAAACACCTATCCCTTGTGATAGGTGTTTCCCCAACTGGAAAACACATATCCCTAATCATCTGTGTTTCCCCATCTGGGAAACACATATCCCTGGTGCTATGGGTCCCCAACCCTTAGAAACACATATCACTAGTGATATGTGTTCCCCCACTTGGGAAACACATATTCCTAGTGATATGTGTTCCCCCGCCTGGGAAACACCTATCCCTTGTGATAGGTGTTTCCCCACATGGAAAACACATATCCCTAGTGATATGTGTTCCCCCACCTGGGAAACACATATCCCTAGTGATATGTGCTCCCCACCTGGGAAACACATATCCCTAGTGATGTGTTTCCCTACCTGGGAAACACAAATCCCTAGTGATATGTGTTCCTTGACCTGGGAAACACATATCCCCAGTGATATGTGTTTCCCAACCTGGGAAACACATATCCCTAGTGATATGTGTTTCAGTAATCGGGAAACACATATCCCTAGTGATATGTGTTCCCCCCCCCCCCCTGGGAAACACATATCCCTAGTGATATGTGTTCCCCCGCCTGGGAAACACCTATCCTTTGTGATAGGTGTTTCCCCACCTGGAAAACACATATCCCTAGTGATAAGTGTTCCCCCACCAGGGAAACACATATCCCTAGTGATATGTGTTCCCCCACCTGGGAAACACATATCCCTAGTGATATGTGTTTCTCTACCTGGGAAACACAAATCCCTAGTGATATGTGTTCCTTGACCTGGGAAACACATATCCCCAGTGATATGTGTTTCCCCACCTGGGAAACACATATCCCTAGTGATATGTGTTCCCCCGCCTGGGAAACACCTATCCCTTGTGATAGGTGTTTCCCCACCTGGAAAACACATATCCCTAGTGATAAGTGTTCCCCCACCAGGGAAACACATATCCCTAGTGATATGTGTTCCCCCACCTGGGAAACACATATCCCTAGTGATAAGAGGTTTTAACTTGAAATCCGTAAAACAGTGCTCAATACATAAAGTAGAGCGAGTATACGTATGGTTGACGGAAGAAAACAAGTAACTACATAAGTATCCCTACAAGCCTGTTTCGTGGTTGCCCACTCATCAGGGGATTTTAATGAGAATAACTTTACCATTACTTATATACTAGACTGATTTACATAATTTATTCAGTGCGAGGTTCGTTACATCAGTTGTTGCGCAAGAGGGCTTTGTTTCTGTGGCGGCAGGAAGACACGAGTTCATTACGTTTGATAAGTGTAGAGAGTTCAGGTCGGCAGATGATAAGGAATTTTTCTTTAAGACATAAGTTGCATCGTTTGCTTGAGCTGTTGTACGGCAGGTGTGAAGAACCTCGCACTGAATAAATTATGTAAATCAGTCTAGTATATAAGTAATGGTAAAGTTATTCTCATTAAAATCCCCTGATGAGTAAGCAACCACGAAACAGGCTTGTA